AGAAACTTTTTCTTTGAATTTTTACTTCAGGGTCTCAGCCGCTTGATGCACAGTGGATTCCAAGTGTGTGGGATCATAAGTAGTTTCGAAATAATTTTGAAAAGCTTTAATCTCTTTGGCATGAGTGAACATACCTTTCTTGCATGGTACCTGCACATCGAATGCATCAGTTAGTTTCTGCTGAATAGTAAGAGTATCGAACATATAAGTCTGATAGAACTTTGTCCACCATTCCATAAACCCCTTTGCTGTAAGGTGTGTAGGTTCGAAAGTTATTAGTTCAAACTGGGCGAAGCCTTGGTATTGTTCCTGCTGTAGTTTGACTTCTCGTGCCTTGAAGGTTCGCCCAGAGGTGATGGCACTTTCCGTTTGAAATAGGGGTTCAGGAATTAGTTGGCACAAGCCAAACTGTCTCGAAACGAAGTTGGGCTGATAAGCGAAAAGGAAAATCTGATTCTTAGCAGGAGTTATTCTTGAAGAGATTAGTCTGGGTAGCAAAAAGGCTCTCCATACATCTTGAATCTCTTTTCTTTTGACAGCTTCTGAGAGAGCCATGGTGAACCATGAAGGTCCATGAGCCCTTGAAGCAAAAGGCGCCATGGTCTCTTCGAACTTATGCCTCTTGGAGAATATCATGATATATTTTGAGAATAGGACTTTGAAGTCATCCTTATCATCGTTTGGGGTTAGTCTTCACAGCCTAGTGCCTTCGACGATTCTATCCGTTATTTCAGGGTCTTGCTCAGCAATAGTGTTGGCAGTTGATAATGAAGGTTCGAACATGGCATTTAGCCATAACTGAAGTAACTAGAAAGGGCCAGCTAGCAGGATATTCTTGGAGGTGTGAGATTTTAGACTCGAAATAGCTGACCTTAGGCTTTCATAAAGATCAACTAATAGCAGTTCGCTTAAGCACACCCTCCGATTCTCATGCAAATCTCTAGCTAGAGGAATAAACCTACTAGCTACCTGTAGGGATCTGCTGCAAAAGACATACCTTGACAGCCATAAGGTAAGGAAAGCAATGTGTTCTACATCCGACACACTGTCTCCTTCAGTGTGATAGTGGCTGATAAACTTTGAAAAGCTTGCTAGCTTGACTTCAAAGTCGATAATACTCGAATGCTCTTTGTTGTCAGGGATATATGTTTCTCCTATTGGTGATAGCCCAGTAATGGCCGCTATGTCAAAAAAGGTAGGGGTAATCATTCCACCAGGGAGATGGAAAGTATTATAAGTACTGTCCCAGAAATATAGGGACGCGAATAACAATGGGTGGCTATAAGTAAAACCTGGCTTCGACAGCTTAATCAAGTTGTAGATACCTAATTCTTCCCATTGTTGGGATTTCTCAGCTTCTACCTTATTGAACCAGTTATGATAAGCAGTGTCGGAGGTGGGACAAGATCGAAACGGTTTGAAGTTACTCTTTACATAGTCTAGTACAAAAGGGTCCTTAGGAGGAACGATTGGATTTTCCACGGTGTTTGAACCAGAAGACTCTATTGCCTTAGGGGCGTCCATTTTATTAAACAGAGGTTTGAAATTATAGCAAACTGGGAAAATTTTTCTGGTGTCTTTTAAAATTTCAAAAACTGTAAGAGGGCCCATTAAAGCTTACCTCTTGCCAGCAGCGTTAGTAGGAATTAGTACCTGGGATGCATAAAGCATTTCTTTCTCTTTTGAGATCATCTGGGGAACAAGGACAGATTGACCTTGGTAGGTGCCAACCTTGCTTTCCATTGTGGTTCCTGTGGTCTTTCCTTTCTTTTTAGAAGCCTTTTTTAGTTGAGATGAAGTTGAAGAAGACATTGTTGGAAGAATGTTGAAAGCTTAGGGTTTCGGTGAGAAAAGAAGGAGAAAAGATTCAGAATGTGGGAAGAAAAGAAAAGACTAAGTTGATGGGTTTTTATAATGTGGAAGTTTAAGCATCCACTGAGTAAGGTTGTGATACGTGGTAATCGTGGGTTGGTTTGATGAAGAGGTGGCGTAAAGTTAACATTGGTAATAGGCGTGATTAAAGACAATCATTGTTTTGTAACTGCACCATACTGTGAAATGGTTCAAGGCGGTTAAGGAATCTGAAAAGCGTTATGATTGACGTGACTGGAGTCATATGCAATAAATGTTACGATGATTCGAAGGTCGCATCAAAATCTTGTGTATATGTTTAAAATAAGTATTTCTCAAAGGAATCGAAATACATATTTTAAAGGGGTATTTATATTTTAAAGGGGTATTTCGTTGGCTGAAGATTTTGATGATATTATTAGAAGCAAAGTAAATTGGACGTTTCGATTGAAATGAAACAAAACGTCATGTTTCGAAATGGTAGAAGCAGTGCTTCGAATGGGCATATCAAAGCTTGGAGCTTCGAGTGACAGTTATGAGAATATATCCAAAGAAGTCTCGAAATGATAACAAGGCTGTGTCTAAGAAATGCGTTCGAAGCGAAGAAGTGCCAAAACATTTGAAATTCAAATGCAAGCGGGATGTTCGAAATTTGAAATATATGCGCTGGAGCATTCGAAGACGCGTGGAAGCAAGAGAGAGACATTTCTCTGCATGTTCTGAACGTGGCATAATCTTATAGCATGACCGTTATGGTCGAAGTAGTATAAATAGAAGTCTTAGCATTAGGATTTCGTGTGTCATATCTATTGTACAAAAAAAAAACTCAGTAAACATTCAAATTACCACATGGTTAGGGAAACGAATGCAAGAGCAATGTACGTATGATAACACCACATGTTTATGATTTAATGAAAAATCTTTATCATTTCCAGTACTTTCCTTTATCTTTATGTCAATACCATTTACAAGTTTTTGCATTTAAAGTGTTTTCATTCGAAATCTTTTCACTGATGCCTTACATTTAAATGTTTTCTTTCCATTTCAAATACTTTACATTTCAGAAACTGTTATACATTTCATGCCTTTATCTTCAAGTTTTTATCATTCGAACACCTTTTTCACTTAAAGTCATTTTACAGTTTTCTTGCATTTAAACGCTTTCTTCATATTTCGAATCTTTTACATTAACCGTTTTTATGATTCGAAGTCATTTATTTGTCTTTTATGCAGTTTTTACATGTCTTTACAATTGACCTTTATTCATGCAATTTAGTTTCGCGTACATTTATTTGATCACACCTTTAGATCTTTAATAGAGAAATCGAAATAAGTTAAACACCTACACAATATTCTAAATACCAACCATGAATACCAGTTCGATCATGAGAGTTACCCTAATAACCAACACGTCCTAGGATCAATCTAGTCGATCCTGCGAGTTACCAGAGAAATTGAATAACAGTCAGCAAGTTTATTCGATAGTTTGGAGGACTAGCGGTTGTTTACCAGAAATCACTGTAAACAGGATGCAAACTCGTATAGAGAATGGAATACGGGACAGTGGACTAGACCATTCTTAGAAATCGGATTTGACTATCCAACTAAGTCATAGCCAAATATAAACTCGGATCTAGTTATGTAGGAGAAAAGGCTGGGATATAGTTTCAAACCGATGAAACACGCAAGCAATCAGGTAAGGGCGCAACCTGATTTACAAGAAACCGGACCAAAAGAGGTGAAGAGTTGTAACTAATGATTATTGACTAACAGTTACGAGATACATTACAAGTGATTAATGAACGGTTACAAACGTTGCATAACTGTTTAATAGTCATTAGATCAAGACTTACACTATAAATAAGAACTCCCATCTAAAAGATAAGCAAAACATATTTTCTTGAATGCATGCGAACAACCTTTGTACTATTTGAATCCCCCGGGGGAACCATCATATATTATCACTCTCCTTATTTCTACAAGAAAGTTAGGCATTTTAATATTTTTGGTAAAAATATTTGGCACCCAAGTAAAACTCTCCCTGGTTTAAACCTTCATATTACGCTCACGGCCAAAAAGAATTGACGTGGCGCCGATCTGTTCGATCAATTGGAGGTCTAATCTCTCAAAGGGTGGGAACGCGAACCCATGGCACCCTAATGTTCACCGCAGTGATCGTCACCGAAAATCATTACAAATCGGATGATCATTTGTAAAAGCAATAAATTCATCAAAAGCGATGTCAATCTATTCTGAAATGCCGGCCACTTGCATGATCCGCAGCGCGCCGCATGCATCAGCTTCGGGTATCACTCGAAGAAGGCGATCCGATCTCGTCTTGTGAAGAACTCGCGCCATGGGGTCCATTCAGCAACAATTGGGAAGGCGAGATCCTGGTGACGGCGTCGTTGGGACGATTAGCTGTTATTCAGTTTTGTAGCAAAAGCACCTCATATCGATGACCACTTCGCCGGCAGAATCCGAAAACTTAATAGCGCGTTGCTGTTAGAATCTGTCAATGTTGATAGCGACAGCTGTTGCTAATTGAAAGCTCATAGCAATGAAGAATAATGTTGCAGGAGAGATGAATTGCTTCATGCCGGCGAAGCCGATTAGTGGTTTCTGAAGCCAACAAGTTTATGGTGTGTCAAAGCTCTGCACACAATGGATTCGATGAAATGCCAAAGTGGAAATCGAGGAGTTGAGAAATGACACGATGTCGATACCAACGATAAAGCATGTTTCACAGCTCGGCGAGTCCAGACGAGACGTGAACCTCTGTGTTGCACTTACGGCTCATAACAGTGGTTATTTCGATTACCAGTGGGAACCTAGTGTAACTCCCGCAGTCGATTAAACGCTTGGCACATTAACACAAGGTTAATAGTCTAGCTAATCATTTATCGATATATCAGTGGCTCTTAACATTATGTGATCATGTAAAAGCTTAACACCAGAGGTTGGTTCCAAGAGTGAACTTGGTGCAGGGACTGGATCTGTAATGAAATTACTGCTAAGTAGTTTTCAGAAATTAGTATATTAATAATCTCTTTGCAGGGTCTAATATTATCAAGGAAATCTAGGTTACGGGTTGCCACTGTGGAACTAGAGACTATTATGTCATCTCCCTCCTCGGCCAGAGACCCAGGTTATATCATTGTCAATAATGTTTGGTACCTTAGAATACTTTCTCCTAAAAGATATTCCAAGAATGGGAGAACAAGCCATTGAACCCCTTGGTCCAAGTTCTGGACAAGGACTGAATAACACTGGTGCAAAATCTCGTGACAGTGCTTCTGGTTTACCATCATTAGGCTCACTTGAGTACTGAGAGATGATAACATACTTATTTGATAAACTATTCTGCAAGTGTTGTTTTGAGCAAAGAGGCGAAAGAGAACGGAGGAGACATTATTTGTTGCTTCTAATGCTACTCATGGTAAGAAAGTAAGAGTGGAGCACTATGGGGAAGCTATACCAAAATCGCCTTATGTGAAAGCAAAGGAGAGCGACTTCAAAACAAACGACGAATGCCGATGTGCTCATTACGGTTCACAAAGATAAGTTTTCTAACCTCGTTTGAGTGTAGGACTCAACTTCATTGCTTGGTTAAATTTAGTACTTGTTCTAAGTATACACACAATCGATAGTACGGATTGAATCAGTGTTTGTGAAGTATGTATGGTAATGGGCTATCCAATATGTTATGTTGTTAATATATATGATATATGTCATTGGGTTTGTCTTAGTATAGGACTTAGTCTCCTATAAAATAACTGGATTAATAAAATAACTAATATGTGCTTATAGTAAATAGACTTCCAGGTCCAACAATTTGTCATTTGAGTAATTGAAACAAAGGTATTAGTGCGCAAATCACTGATGTCACAGTATCTATTTTTATAAGGGGAATAAATGGAGGTTTCTTAAGGATCATTTTGCGAGAATGGTTACTCAAATATAATATAATTTATTAAAACTAATGAACAAATAGGAACCGCATTGTGCTAAATTTATGGCGTTCCTATTGATCAGAAAATTAAAATTATGTGTACACGCACATGCATATCTATGACTATTTTGTATGTTACCACTTAGATACTGTTATGGATGTTATTATTTACCATCTCTTGATTTTCAAGAATATCATGAATGCACATATGATCATAGTATTGAACGAATGTATACCTGTCTAATCAAATACTTTATTTTGCATAACTCGGCAAACTAACCGAGAAGTGAAGGCGACGAGCTAATTTTCACATGGTCTCCTGCAAGAATGCAAGCATCGCCAAAAGGCATCATAACAAGCTGACGAAACTAATTAATCTTGGAAGCATGAGTTTATCCAACAAAGCCAATAAACCAGGGTCCTAGTGGTATACACGGTTTATTCTTCCGATCTCGAAACAAGCTGACAAGTGGGCGAAATATGACAGTACCCGGGTACACTGTTATAACATTGAGATCGGTAACCTTTATTTAGATTTTTATTATTTCCACTATATTGATCTTTGCTTCTGCATATTATTAGCAAAACCTTGACCATAGAGAAACGGCAGTAGTCAATGGATTATGACCATAATGATTATGTTGAGTACGATAAACATTGCAGGATATCAAAATACTAATCGTTTCGCATAGATGAAGTTTTTTATTATTAAAGATAATAATAATATACGTTATGTAAGTCTTTTTATGCTCGTTTCGTACAGAAGATGTTTGTTCAAAGAAACACGCGTGTTGAAATAACAATTGAGTTATGTTAACACATGATATCAAGATATCAAGGGCATTATGACGGGTTAACGACAACGTTCAAGTAAATTGAGCTCGGTGATGAGTTTGACTCGGGCTGAAACAAGGACATTATCACCACATACCTCAAGTTCAATCCATATGGTCGTCCTACCGAGGGCGATGACAAGTTGTGATAAGTGAAGGACTCGACTAAATATATAAATGTTAGAATTAAATATGTTTTTGTCCCTTTAAATTATCAAGTTTTGTTTTTCGTTCCTACTATTTTTTTTGCGCATGTTTTAGTCCCTATAAAATTATTTTTGAATGATTTGATTTTTAAGTTGAGATTTTCATTATTTTTATTAAATATTTTTGAAATTTAAAAAATTCATATTTAATTCATCTCATTTTAAAAAATTCTAAAATTTGATAAATAAATAATTTATAATATTCTAAAAACTTTTGAAAAAAATTATTCAAAAATTTAAATATTTAAAGATAATTAAATAGTTTTCAAAATTTTAGAAAAATAATAGGGATTAAAGTTGTATGAATAAAATATATATATTTTTAATAGAAACTAAAAGTGAAATTTAAGATATTTATAGGAATCAAAAACATAATTAACCCTAAATGTTATAACTAATTTACGTGTTTATAACTTGAAATGTCAATTGCTAAGTACAAGAGTTCAAACAATGGTTCGTACGCGACTTGGAGGTAAGGCCAAAATCCTCGGGATTTCCTGAACCATGAATCATAAATAAAAGAGAAAATAATCGGGTTGTCACACAACCTTCTCCTCAAATCATAATTTAGGGGGACACAAATTAGCCCTGATTTATCAAGCAATATCGCTAAACAAAACCAGTAGGCCGTAAAAGTTAAGTTTATGTTTTAGTCAAATATGTTTATTGTTGGAAAAGACGAGTAGTGGTCTTTGTCGCTTGTAATCATTTTGAGGAACTCTTTTAGAATTTACTTTAAAGTTGTAGGTGTCGCTCATTTTCCATGTGTGTGCATGAGGCGCCTCCAGCTTATAGGAATTATATAGGATGAGCTCGGAGCGTGATGAGGTCTTATATTGAAGAAACTAAACTCTCAAGGAGAAACCGACACATATTATGCTAAAGAAATCAAGATGCTACAAATCAAAAAATCATAGAAGACAAAGTCGACCCACCTCATCTGAGAGAGGTTCTAACACAAAGTTGGGCAAAACCACTATTAATTGTTGAATTCTCTTTTTTGTTTATCAATTTTGCAAGAAAGGAGCCGAGATCATATCAAGTCAGAAGAGACCAACCATGAATCATCCAACTCCAAAAAAATCGAGGTTAACTCCCATTGTGGTAACTCCCGAGCAAAACCCAAGTTAACTCCCATTATGGTAACTCCCAGCCAAGTGGTAACTCCCATTGTGGTAACTCCCGAGCAAAAACTGAGGTTAACGCCCATGTGGTAACTCCTAGCCAAGTGGTAACTCCTATGTGGTAACTCCCGAGCAAAAGCTGAAGTTAATCTCCATTGTGGTAACTCCCGAGCAAAAACTGAGGTTAACTCCCATTGTGGTAACTCCCAAGCAAAAATAGAGGTTAACTCCCATTGTTGTAATTCCTAGCCATGTGGTAACTTCTATTGTGGTAACTCCCGAGAAAAAACTGAGGTTAACTCCCATTGTGGTAACTCCTAGCCAAGTTGTAACTCTCATTGTGGTAACTCCCGAGCAAAAATCGTGGTAACTCCTAGCCGAGTGCTAACGCCCATTGTAGTAACTCCCAGGCGAAACCATGAGCATATCAATATTGGAGCAATTGTGTAAAGTTTATCCCATGCCTCCTCGAGTACAACCAGAGGAAGTTTCAGTCGTCGTGCTGTATGAACCTGACCCCAATAACTTGGGGCTTATTAAATCATTTGGGTTGTACGAACCAACCCCAATAACTTAGGGCTTATTAAAACATTTGGTACATACACCTCAGATTATGTTAAAGTCGCGATATAAGCTTGGCTCCGTAGACAAAGCATAAATATGAAAATGTGACACAAACACGGGGCTGAATAGGTAATAAAAAGACAAAATCTTTTTATAAGCCATAAGAGGCGAACAAGCATTAGTGTAAACACTCAACATTGGCACTGGGCCACAAATTTAATAATGGACAAGCGAAATCCAGGAATAACAAGACGATTACTCACTCCAGGCGTGCCTGGGGCTCAAATCAGACGAAATTCCCCGGTTGCATCACAATCCAGACAAGATACTTCACTTCAGTAGACGTCATACTAGGAAGGATTTGCACATAAGCCACGTGAGGATCTAAATAAAGACGTTAAAAAGATATTAAACTCAATAAGCCTTCCATTTGAACAACCAAAAATAGTGTCAGACGAGTCATATCCGAACACTTCACTCCTACAAACTTTGTGCTCGGGGGGCTTAGTATACACCCTGAAGTATTCTTGGGATGGAGGAAGTCGATTAGATCCTTTCTCAAAAGCCAAAACATATACGAATAGAATCAACATCCGAGACGAATAAGTATTATTGGGTAGACTCAACATCTGGGATATAACTATTTTGGTCACCAGGGTATATTAACTCGACCTCAAAAGGCTTGGTGGGGCTTATAAAACTTATGAGTACCTGTAAACTCCGGAATAAATTTGAGCTCAGTCTAAACAAAAATTAGTACCAAACTTCAAATAAACTTGGGGATTGTTGGACAAGAAAATATAGGCTCCGGCCAAAATCCCCGACTAGGAGCAGGGATAAAATAGTGTTGGGCTTCTCTTGTTCAAAAACTTATTTCCTTCGGACTTCGTGCACGGGGAGGCTTAACATATACACCCCCCATGATATTTTATATAAGATGAGATGTGAATCGGTTAAAACCCAAGGAGCTCTAGAAGCCTATAACCCGTATAATTGAAAATCCTAAAGTATGGTAGATTTCTGGGTTAGTACGAAGACCTCGGTCCAATCAACACACAAGTCAGGAAAACGAACATCAAATTACTTGGGGATACCTGTCCAAGATAATAGATTAATCAGTGATCAACCAAAAAAGGATTTATCCCACGACCGAAATATTAATGATATAGATCCCGGTACATGCATTGGGTCGTAAATTTAATAAAATATAAGTAAAGCAGAATTTATAAACTGGAATAGGCAAGTGCGATTGGCAAAGTAATAAGGTTTGTCAAGAAACGTAAAACACTACGAGTGCATATCAACAAATTTAAAACTTAAATCTGAGAGTTGTCATTTAAAACTCTTATTCATAGTTTAGTGAACAAAGAATCAAAGTAAATCATATTTTTGGTTAAACAGACCTTTGATTTATGCTAAAGTCATGTGGGATATATCTTCGACATGAGCATAATGCATACTTATAAGGTACTAAACCCAAATAAACATACGCATGGGGCTATAAGTGAATATCTAGGAGAAAACAAAAATCATTGCACTAGAAATAAATAAATTATCCAAAGCATTACAAAATTGAGCCGAGTATGGTCATCGAGACCATGGATTCACGGAAAATTTACATGAACCGAGTTGGTTATGATGTGTGTTAGGTGACCGAGTTCAAAT